AGGGTAACAAAGCGAAGGAGCACATTTTCTGTAAAGAATCTGTGGTATGCCATCGTGAGTGGCAGAAGTAGATGATTTAAGCTTTTTTAAAATCTCAAAAACACTTCCAGGGGTAACTTGCAGGGTCCCACAAGACTCCTGGATACGCACAGTCGGTTGCCTGACTGTATCAATATCCTTTGAAGTGTGGTCGAATACTTTAGCAAAAAAGAGCCCCAGAGCATCAGCTTTCCCTTGATCCTCTGCGTAGGTTTCTCCACCATCTGTTATTGCTGGGAGTCTTGCCCCACCTTTAACCCTGGCTCTTAGATACCGAAATAGCTTTTTACTACCTTGCCTATTAAGGCGATGTTCATGATTACTGAAGAATTTTTTGAGGTGGTAACCAAGATCACGACAGACTTTTATGTACAACGTATCTGCTAATGGATCACTAAGATTAGAAAACAGTCTTGATTTCTGTTCAACCAAATTTTGAATATGAATAGGAAATTTACGAAAAGGAGGTTTTTGCGTCACGAAAGGTATATACTTGGCCATGGCATTGTAGAGCACTAGACAAAAGCGATGGTACAAGTCATCGACAAAAGTGTATCCGGCGAAAACGAGTGACCAATCAATTTGCATGAGCTCAGTATTCATTTTGAAATAGTCAGCTCCGAAAAGATCAGGAAAAGGCAAAAAGACTTTTTTGGGAAAAGAAAAACGAATGCGAAAAGATACTACATTATGATCTGATGTACCAAAGGGCGGGAGTGCACGCAGTCCGTCCAAAATATCGTGAGAGGAAAAGACAAGATCAATAACTGATCTACCTCTGGTAGGAGAATTCACATTCTGTGTGAGCCCACATCCCCGGAGAAGAGAGAGTAAATGCGCATTATGTGCATTATGTGGGTGTCTATGAGAAGAAGAAGCATTAACATCAAAATCTCCCAATACGATCATTTCAGCTGGAGAGGAACTGAAATCGCGAATAACATTGATTAGATCATCATCATCGCTCACACTAGAGCTTGGCGGGCGATATACTATGACAATTTTTATCGGGGAAAATGATCGAGTAGTAAAAATGTTCAAACAAAGCACATCGGATTTGATATGTCCGGTAACTATGGTGCGCTGAACAGAAAACTCGGTTTTGACGAAGCAGCAAACGCCCCCACCTTTGCTTACAGTGCGATCGGCTCGAAAAACGTCATATGGGAGATCAGCAATCAGTTCACAATCGGAGATCTTTTGGCTTAACCAGGATTCGGTAACACACAATATATCAGAATAGTGGATTTTCAAAAAACCATGAAGTAAATGCAGTTTATTTACTAAACTGCGCGCATTGAATAGAAAGCACGAAATGAAATCAGATGGACCTGGCATGTTTAGGCGTTTCCCTGGGAAGGGTGCCTGGGAAGGTCCGAGATATGCTTTACTTCTCCCCTATAGACTACCCATTGTTTCGACGCACAACCTCTATTCTTCTCATGAAACATACTTACTCACAAACTTTAAGTCTTATATACGTATAGATTGCGGTTCCTTCTCTGGTGCAGGAACCTATGTTACAACCTAACTATGTGAGCATTGCATAAGAGCCCATATTGCATAACACTACATGCTTCCGCACTTTCGGCTACATTCTGACAACATAGCCACTAAGTCAAACAATCGAAAACCTGTCGATGCTCAGCGTAAAATACATAGTCAATAGTAGAGGTGTTGAAGCGTAGTGTGATGTTGTGTTTGTTTTGCACCCTTCACGTCCATTCGTACCGGATTCCGATATTTACTTGTGGTTTGCGTGTGCCACTGACCAGTAATATATTGGGAAGTAGCCACAGAGTTTGGATTACTGTTTACTAGCCGGTATAAAAGCCGTTTTCGGCAGACACAAGTACTTGCTGAGTAATTTTTCTTCCTTTCTTGGTCTTGCACACTTGTGCAAAAAACTGCCAAGAGTGTTTTTTTGTCGATAATTGTAGTGTGCAAGAATCCTTTTGCTTGCAATCTTTTGTGTATGTGTGATGATTTCATATGTGAAGATTTGAAACACTTATGATCAATTCAAAAGTTGATTATTTGATTAGTCACAAGTTCTGAGTTATTTTTTGTTATTACTTTTTCTTCTCATAGATAGACAACCGTCGAAATCTCCGAAGATGCCTTACTATTATTTCTTGCATAAGGGTTGATATTTTTTTAAAAGCTAATAGAGTTGGTAAGTCGAAGGTTGTACCTTTTTAATATACATATGCCAATAAATTATCCAATTTTTGATTTTAAAAAAGTTTCAAATAATTTTTTGGCAAACTTCGAAACTGTGTTATTGAAGAGCCTACACTTTGAAGCTGCATTTTTTCTAGTACTGAGATCTCCAGAAATCTAAGACCATGAAAAAATAAGAATGAGAGCATCACTCTAAGAAAAAAGAAAAAAATAGAGATCAAAGTGGCATCATAAAATTGTTTTTATATTTATTGCAACCCATATCGTGAGGTTGAAAATGATGCCAAAAGACAGTCCATTGTCCACTTTTCATATGTACTAGATATCAACCTTTGCTGGTCTCTGATTTTTTTGAGGAAAAAATGTCACAAAACTTAGGTTACGACCCAATACTTCATGCGGTAAGTCTAGAATGCTACTTTCTCGGTAGCAGCCCTTCCTCTGAAAGGGAATGATGATTAGCGAAGTGGTCTTTTAAGAAGAGATGCATTATAAATCATTGTGGAGGGCCTAAACCGCTGATTTCAAATCAGTCTTCCCTATCTGCAAAGCCTTCTTGGACGAAGAGTCATTAGCGTTTATTGGAGCAATAAGTTGAAGGTGTAAGTAGGGTAAAAATAGGCGTAGTCTTTTTTCTAGCGCTTAGAGCAGTCATAGTTATCAGAGCACCTAATGCGGTAAGTACTCTTATAGTTACACTCCGCTGCCTCAGAAAATACTTGGCAGCTGATTTCGTCTAGAAAATCACTGGATTTTTTGCCCCAAAGAACATTCATAACTTTTCGTGCATGAATGCTGCACAGCTACGGAAGACAGATTCGGTATCAGCGTTTATATGTTCTCCAAGATGTTGTACATCGCACTTCAAAAGGTCACTTCGACTAAACATCTTCCTTTGTAAGCATATCAAGGACTGGCTCCAACTTAGTGTTGGATTTTTCAATCTGATAGATCTGATAGAAATTTTTTCATTTGGTAGGAGTATGTTGTCAGTGATGCAAATTTCTATCCATCTAAAATTCTGAGCAAGCTATTGAAGCTTTGAAGTCATAATAAGAATGGCAATATTAAGAAAATACTGAAGAAAGCAATACAAATTGCCTACGTTAATTTGGGAGTTTTAGAGGGGTTTCACTAGAAGTTTGCAGACACAATTGATGCTGCTATGAAGTCACTAGCCCTTTCAGATATTATTAAATTCATACTAAGTCAGCAAAAGCATGAAAAGATTGAATACTTCCTTAATGACTTTGCAGTGTAAAAGTGCCTTTTTCCAACAAAATTTAAACCATGATAACAGCTATTTCCATAATTAAGACTGCAGACGTCTAAAGATGTAACTTCAAAGCAGATTAGGCTTTACTGCAAATTCACGTTTTCTTTCCAGTTTGGAGGAGCGATTTGAAAGCTAAAAAATGGGAGGGGGTGTTTTGTAATCAACGTTCCAGAACCCTGCTGATATACAGGATGTCAAAAATGGAAATGTGTGTTTGCTAATGACTCTCCCGTATAGCCTTCGCGAAGTTCGGGAATCTGCAGAGGTGGCTTCAGTTCGAGTTTACAATACAAAACGGATAGCCTATCGTTCCTTATTACTATCAGATTACAATAGGAACTTTCAACACAATGTCGTTACTGCAATATAGCTGGCTTTTCAGGAAATTTCAAAACGTCTGAAAGATATTGTGATGGAAGCTTTTCTTTCATTAATGAGTAATTTGTACATGTTTGCGCAGTTTGGATGGTTAAATTAGATTGTTGACGATTATTCTATTTTAGTCACCAAAGCTTTTTGCTCAAAGGGTGCAGCAAAAGCATTAAGTTAGCAGTGCTGATTAAGCTGGGGACAAGTTTTGGACACCTTCGCATTCCTTTTGGAGCGATTTTTCCTTATTGGTTGGCAGCGTCTCGGCAAAATTACGCTTTTCACTTTTTCACCTATTCGGAGCCTTTTCGCCTTGGGGAACCCATATCTGGGACTTTCAGCGCATGAGAATGGCGAAAATAACACTTTCAAATTTTCAGGTCCACATTAAGTGAAAATACGCCGGAAATCTTTCGCACCCCTTCCCTCCTCCCTTTTTCCGGGCCCCGCTCACCTGCACGTATTTTCCACTAAATGGGGATCTGAAAAACTTTGAAAAAGGCTCATTTTTGCCAATTTTATGCGCTGAAAAGCCCAGATATGGATATTCCTCAAGGCAAAAAGGCCCTGAAAAGGTAAAAAAACTGGAAGACAAAATCTGCCGGGACACTGCCTATAGCACCCTTTGAATGTTCCCTCCATAATCATACAGTAACGAGGGAAGCAAGGGCGTGTCCACTTTTGCATGGGTGGTTCGTTTTATACTGCGAATATGAGTTGAAGCTAGCCCTAGAATATGGTTTCAAAAGATCCGCAAAAGCAAGCTGATGATGCAGGAGAGTTTGCGATCGAACATACATTTGGGACACCCTGCACATCTCAATCTTCGAGAAAATTTTCCCGATAGATTCAAACAGTTACAACAGACTGTATGATTGACAAAGCAAAGCTTTCATTATCATTTACGGTGCTTGTACGGGAGCTCAAAATTGAAACTCTCATATGACAATATACTTACTAGGCAGCTGCCAATATTTAGTGATTACCACAGGTCCGGAAAACCATCGTCCTCGTGTGAACAACTGCAAATCTCGAAAAATCAACAAATTTATGCATAACAAAAAAACCAAACCTACTAAGCTAAAACTTCTAGATTTCAGGTAAGAACAGTCTGGTGCAACAAGTATCTAAGATGCGAAAAGTGTGTATCATGCTACTGATTGTGCAGTATTCGTTTGCGCAGTTTGGCGGATTCGGCGGCTTGGGTGGTGGTTTGGTAAGCCTGAACTTAAGAGCATTTCTTTTAGCAAATTCAAGGCGAAATTGCAATGAATTAATCAGCAATTCCAGGGCTCATGTTGTTGCTGCTGTTGTCCATGCCCGTGTCCTCCAATGCCTCCACCAGGTAAGGTAATGGAAGTGCTTTATTTGTAAATTACATACTCTTTTCTAGTCTATTATGTCAATCCATGTCCTCCAGCAACTACAAGTAACCCTGTAGGCGTGCCAGACGTTGTCGTAGGACCGTGCGGTAAGCATATTTTAGATCTCAGCGTGTGTGTAGTGGAACAATATAAAGAAGTTAGTACTTATGATTTCTGAAAGTGAATTGCAAAACCTGTGGAGATTAACTTCAAAATAATCGCGCGGTCTAGGAAATAAAACAAAAAAATTTTAAAAAATCAGATTAATTTGAACAAAATCCACTCGAAATTGAGAGGAAAGTCAGATATGATCAAAAAAAATCAAACGTAATTTCTCATACTGAGTAGGCTTATGGCAGTATGATAAATATTAACCCAAAGACGACGATGTGTACCACCGGTGGCCCACACTTCTTGCAGATCGTATCCTTTCAAAGTCTAGTTTTTGTTACAGTTCAGTATTTTTCCCAATTGCACTCTTGGAACCAGTAGAAAACTCGTCATCGGTGGCCTGGTTGAAATACAGAAGACCGGACATTGCGGTAGCTGTTAAAAAGCCTAAACCGCAACTATAGATCATCAGTCCATTTTGATGTGGTCAAAAATGGCTCGGTCGTTAACATGTTAAAGGCAGTGTCTCACCAAAGTTGAAGTCGCGCGGATCTTCATATATTCCATTATAGGGACCTCTAAATAGGCTATTGCAACAATTTCCACTCAATTTGACCCCCTCCACGCTGAGAAAAATTCGCTCAAAGTGGTACGCGGAGCGACTTGGTACGCGTGGACGACTCCCTCGGTTTCCCCTCTTACGCGTTTGAACATGTCCCTCCACTTGGCATCCACCTCCCCTCTGTTGCTGCCATGTGGCTGAGGTTGAAGTTGGAAGGAACAACTCGTCCACGTCGCTTCCGCGGGGTCTCCAGAAAACGGGGTTTTTGGGAACTTCATGCGATTTTGAGCCCATACAATGCTAGACAGGGTCTGACAGGCTTGCAAAATGCGAAAATCTCGGCAACTAAATTTTGGTAAGACACTGCCTTTAAGCACATCTACGTAGCCTAAGGAAGAATTTCGTTCACATTTTATCTCAACGTGCTGCTACATTCCTCAAACAGGAGTCGTTTATGATTGAAAAAAAATCTAATACAGTCCCCACAGTAAATGATATTAGCCATTTAAGGCGAGGTGGTCATTCCACTGTACAATCCACCAGCCGAAGCACTTCTTCCCTAGATATTCTACCTATATCTGATGTTAAACTGTTTGTTGCAGGCAGGTTTGTTGCTCTTCTATCTTGCTTTACTTTCAAGCCACATGAGTTTTTCAGGTTATTCCGAATAGACCTGCCGAGTACTATAGAATACTATTTATTACCTCCCTCTTGTGATATATGCAAATTGTTAATAAGAACAAAATCTAGCTCACATGCATAACGATTGAACGACACCTTTATAGGAACTTTGTTAAAATAATTCTCTCTCTCGCGATAAATGTATATAATCACCCATACATATTATAAACTGCGCATCTTTGATTTTACAGCTTAGATTTGAATTCGCAGAGACAGAAAAGCAATCTCAAACTAATACTATTGCTGAATGGATTCGTTTGTTTTGATACCAGTGATAAAATAAACTTTTCTACTACCCTTTGAATAAATCCATGAGTCACAATGGTGTTTTTTAGCAGAGCTGGAAAGTGTATTTGCACTCGTCATCATCACTCTTGAGATGTGTGACGTCAGTGTATATCCAAGTATTTTTTCGGCACAAAAGTAACTTTGTGTGGGTACCATTCCCCTAAAAACGATTTTTAGAGTTTGGTTAACAGATGCTTTAATATGTGTACAGGATAAGGTATAAATAATGCATGACTTGCTTAGGTGATTCTAACAGTTGGTTGAAGCTGGCAAAAATTTGTGCCTCCACTGATGTAGAAGAGGGATTTGGAAATTTGCTGTAAAAATTGCAAGCGCAAGTAGTAGAAAGGTTTGGGTATGACATATAAAAAAGGAGATTGTGACATAATCCTTTGATATTCAACGGAAAAAAGTCATGCTACTGGAGTGATCTTATCCGTGTGCTTTCCACGATATTGGTAAAGCCACAAAATGCGCTATGTCTACTTCATTGTTTTTGTTTAGCAGGCTCGTCACGGCTCAGGAAACGAAAGTGTTTTGAGCCATAGGCATACGACGTGAAAGCCCTTCAATACCAGTTTTCGTCGCTTTTTCCATCACATTAATGCCAGCTGATAAGCGGAAACTCAAGTGAGGATGTTTGCTCAACGACTCGACGAGTCTGGAATTTACTGGACGGTTGTTTGTGTTGGAATGCAAAGAAAAAACTGAACACACCACACAGCTTGCGTCATGCTGGTCCATCACTATTTAAACTTCGGAAAAGATCGAATGACCATTCATTGCGTCACTCATATTTTCAAGCATTCACACCTACACTTGGTCTTTCGTTTCAAAATGATGTTTGAGGCTAAATGACTATTCTAAATTGGATCTTCGCTAGAGTGTTGAATTACCGCTTCAAAAGGCATTACTTTGACATCAACTTTCTGCTGTACTTAAGTTCCTGAGATCTTGACCAATTCGCATGCATTTGATTTTCGATTAGTAGTTAGAAGACATGCCTTTGTGATAACACCTAGGCCGCTTTCCATCAACAAGTGTCAGAATCCAGGTAAAAAAGAAAATCTTAATTTTTGATTGCTTGAGATCAAATCGCCAAAAGATTGCAGTGAACTCTGATATAGTCAACAAAGTAAGCTTTATCATTCACTCTTGGCAATAAGAGAAACCTTTGTCCTTTGTCCTCTGAAATCTCTCTAAAATATGACTCTGTAAAAAAGCCAGAATTCGAAAAAAAAATGGTAAACTGCTGCCACGTAAATTGTGTCAGTCGAATAATAAGTTCGTTAGATCTATAAGATTAGTAGTAAAAAAATTCAGTTTTTTTTTCAGGATTTTAGCCATGCGATACATTGTGCCCGCTTAATTTATGCATTTTTTTTTCAAATTATATGAAATTCTGCCTAACAAAATTTCCAAAATCATTTATCTGCAGCTTCATTATGAAACACAGCCGTTTTGCCTCCGAAAAGCTACCTAGTAGAAGTTGAGAGGAATATTATCAACAGAAGCAAAATCAGAAATTTTTCTTGCTGACTCTGCTCCACACAAAGGGAATTCCTATTCTCAAATGTTATATAAAGCGGTATTGGAAACAAACTAAATGGGTGGAAACCAGATGCAAGGAAACCGGGTCCAATCATTTTATAGGTAAACCGCAAAAACTTGGTACAAAATGCACTTGCTCAATCTTAAGACTTATCTCAGTAGCGGCTCAAGGTAATACTTGCACGCTACCTTGCCTATATCTAAGTTTCTGAAAAATGAACGAAAACCAGTTTAGCGAGGCTGGCTTGATATCGTTGCCATTCAAAGAGTTGCGATGCGGTACTAGCTTGTTCCTTTTCAAAAGCGCAAAAATAAGTCCCAAGTTTGGAAACAATGCGGTTATTTACTTTTCCCTCAAGAGGCCGGTTTGATAAGCCCTCAAAATTTCTTCGCAGTTTTTTCGCCAAAACAGGATGGCTTACGCTGTTTACAATAAATCCAACACTGAAAGATAAGATATTTATATAGATCTAGACTAGGCTGACTGATGTCTCATTTCACTTCCATTCCTTCAGCGACATTCATTCATATTCACCTTATAAACGTATCTTTCATCAGCTTTGAGTGGGTCATCTGAGCCAAATAGATTTTGAGTTTTCTCACGAAAAATTTCAAAATTATTCAGGAGGTAAAAAATGACATCAATCCTCTTCACAACAGTCCTCTGCACAGCGATTCAGCCGATTTTGAGCCAAATATTAGGAAACGGATTGAATGGCGCTCTTCCAATTGTGAGAGGATTATTGGCCAAGTTTCCTAGAGTATGCTCCTAGCACGATCACCTTGTCGGGTAGTGTTTTCAGGCAAACGGAGGTAACGGAGGTAGTCAGACGTGTTGTTGTTGCACCATACAGCAGCAACCACAGCCAATGGTGACAGCTGCTGCGCCAATCGTACAACAACCAATCGTAGCTCGACCAGTAGTGCTTAACACTTGTTGTAGGTTTTAAATTGATTTTTTCAAGAGAAAAATTTGAGAAATATATAATGTTTTGAGGTCCATGCCCACAAACTCAGCCTCAACCTCAACCCTTGCCAGCACCTGCACCTTCGGTGCCTGAAATCAAAAACATCTTCGTTCATATGCCCGTACAAACGACAACGAGACGTCCAACGAACATTTACATCCACTTGCCGAACAGAGGAGTTGGAGGGGTGGGACGAGGAGGACCAGGAATGCCCATGCCATTGCCCATTCCTTTCCCCATTGGCGGCGGCGGCATTGGCGGCCAGTACCAGTTCTTACAACCCGGAACGTATTATAGTGGTGCCAGCGCTACAACGGCTACTCCAATTGGAGTCCCAGATATCGTCCGAGGACCTTGCGGTAAGTAACTCATTGTCAAAAACCTTATTAGAGCTAGAGCCTAATGGAGCGAATCATTCTAATTCCTTTACTTAAGAAAACTGTGGAAAAAATTCGCTCAATCTCAGAATTTGCGCAATCTTGTGCTGAATCAAGTAATTCATTCATTGATGCATACACTTTATTGTCTCAATATTTTTGCACAATATATCCCTTACAGGAGAAACGATCATCCCATTGTACAATCCTCCTTCTTCGAAGTAGAGTGACTGAACACTATAACAGCAGTGTTTATCTCAACGGCTGGAACAAGCTCTTAGGATTCTCAATGATTTTTAGATAGAGATTATATGCTGAATATTTATTCTATAGATATAAATAAAACATTTTCAAAAAGTGTTATAGAACGACAATTGTGCTCAAATGGATAAAAGGCAGCCATAATTTGATGCTTTTTGCAAGCAGCAAATTATGGTATTTTTTAGATGTTACTTGATTATATAAATGAACAACAATTGTATCTTTTGATAAGCAGATACAAAGAATAAGCTAATTTGCAATTATCTTGGCAATGGAACAATATTGTTCAGAAGTATTCAAATACTGAGAATTTTTATTAGCCACGATCTGCTAAACATTTATAGGACGCCCCCTCATTTTTTGGAGCTAAAAAATTCAGAATTCGAGAAAGAGCAGTAACGATGGCCACCTGATTAAAATAATTTCCAAAAGATAGTCTTGGCCATCCACGAAGGGAAGATTATCTCATAACCAAGATCCAGAACATTTTCAAAAATCCATCTTAGGAATTGAAGAAGGTTTGTCTTGAAAAAGGTTACCGCCGAAAGGTAGACCCGTTGATAATTGGCTGCACTGATAATAAAGGAAGACACTGACAATCTTGGAAACCCTTATCATAAAATATAGTTGACACAATATGCCAAGTGATAATGTTTGAACGTGGGATATATACGTGGTCGTACTTCTGTATGTATGAGCTATACATGTGTGTGAGAGGAGCTCAGAATTTTTGGGGACGGAGTTTGTCATTTTACACCATTCATTTTTTCCCATTTCTAGTCATGGAAAAAATACGAATGTGTACATTTGAATGTGCGTTGTGCAAGCATATGCTAGGATATATGGGGAAATTTTAAGATATTTTGAGGCCAAGATACGATATTTTACGTAAGGTTCGTTTTAGACTGCTATCATATTCCAGCTCAAATATTCACGTTGAATTTGATTTGGGCACACTATTGATAGCCAGCTTGTAAAGCTTGCTTTGCTCTGTTGAATGATTACTTAAGCCACATCGATAGATGAAAAGATATAAAAAGGCGACGGCTGCAATAAAAACGGTAAAAAATTATGAGACTTTCCAATAATAAAGGCAGTCGCAACAAAAGAATAATGTGATGACTCAAGTTTGTCATTGCCAATCATAATTATGTGCTTCAATCAATCAATGCTCACACTGCAAAAGATTTCTTTTCCATCGTACTTGAAAAGCACATTGGCTATCATAGCGTAAATGTAGAATCTTGCGAGTGATGCGCAACGGTATCGGCTATTCCAGAGGAACTCAGGCTATTTAGCCAGTCAGACACAGATTCCTCTTTACTCCTATGCACTTAAAACAGCCATGTCGAAAAAGACACCTTCTGCTGAGCTGCTTAGCCAAATGTTAAATAGTGGATATTCAACATTTTCTTCAAATCCGTCACAGTGTAAGAGCTTAACGCGCAAGAATGAGGTAAGATATCCTGCATGAATGTACAAAGAAATTTATGTAAGAGCGGTAAAAATTTCCAATTAACCGATAACTACCTCTGAGCTAGGCTCGAATCTTGAGTCATTATTTACATAAGTCCTATAAAATAAAATATTAACATGATTCGTCTAAATCATCTAATCAAAATCAAACTTCTATAGATTCTGACTGAGGGTGGCGATCTATGACAACACAAAAATGCACTTTCATCTTCCAGGCACCAATATACAATTGAATGTGCTTACAGTAATAGTGCGGCATAAATCAATTCAATTTAGTGTTATTTTGTTCATCCTCCTCAACTTTCAGTAATAATTTGCCTCATAGTTTCGCTTCGAATTCTTACTATGGCAGCCTGAATTCGCCCGAGCTTAAAATGCCCTGGGTTAGCCGACACCGTCACACATCACTCGCAAGATTAAAGCTGTCTGCACCTTGTTCGTCTACATTTGAGCTATGATGGCCAATTGATTCTCAGGAAGAAAAAAATTTATTATGATAGCCGGGTGAGTCCCAATCTTTTTATCCTTGCGTTATTACCTGTCATGCAAAATCTTCTGCTTTCGTAAGTTCTCTTCACTCTTCTCGGTTTGAGGCTTGCTGCTCATTTATCTCAAGTTCTCTCATATCCGCCTTGACTCTCACTAGCCTTGCATCTTGGGTCTTCCTCTTGGCCTCTTTCCTACATTAACCACATGCCTAATCTAGTTACATGATCTTGACCTCGTCGGCTCACGTGTCCTACCATCCGTGGCGTCTTTCTTGCATCTTCGTACCACTCGCGCGCCTTCATCATGTTTCGTACTGTGTTGTTTGTGATATGGTCTAGTATGGTAACTCCTATGGTCCAACTTAGCATCCGCGTCTCCATTACGCCAACCATTCTCTCCTCACTGCAGGTGCACGGTCAGCATTCGGTTCCATACAGCGTCGTTAATCGGATGACTGTGGTATATCAGCGACTTGATCTCGGTATTCGTTTGTCACATAGGATTCCTGTCATGCTTTTCCATTTCAGCCAAACTGGACTCACTCTACTGGTTATCTCGTCGTGCAGGCTATCACCAAAGGGCGGTCTTGTTGATTTGCGTACCTTCAATCTGGATGGTACCGGGTGTCTGCACTCCTATCTCCATGTATTCCTTCTTTGTCCGTATCAGTTTCAATCCATGCAGCTCCGGCTTATCTTGCCACTTCTGCACATCTGTCTGAGGCTCCTGCCTGCTTCTCGCTATTATTACCACATCGTCCGCATACATAAGTGGTAGTTGTCAATGGTGGTTGTCATATGAGGTCTTTGACTATTGCACCCAGCACGGAGATGAACAGGAGCGGTGAGAGTACAGAACGCTGATGTAAGCCAACGTGTATCATGAATTCTACTGTCTACGCAGTGTTCACTACATTATCCCGTGTGGTCCTTGTCGAACGCCTTCTGGAGGTCTAGAAACGCGACGTGTAGTTGACTTTACATTTTATGGATGGCTCATGAGACGTATAGGTCGATATGTAGAACATTCTGCTATATCTCCCTTGTTCTTTTAGACTGGGACCGTTGCGTCTTGTACCAATGGCGTCTTCTTGCATCCTACTATTCGGCTGAAAAGTACTGCTAACCACTCGACTCCAGCTCGGCCGCACTCTTTTTAGAACTCGTTGAGGATGTTGCTTGAGCCTGTTGTTTCTTCGTCGACGCTAAAGCGAACTTCTTTTTGTGGTCTTCGCTACCGGTTCTTGTACAGGTCCAACTACTACTTTGGATGATTTATCGTAGCTTGTAGATGCCGTTGCTTCTAAGTGTGTTCGCCATCGTACGCTTATCTCTTCGGATCTTCTCATGTATTCTTCCATAAACGTCCTTGATATTGTGGTAGTGATTCCATGTCTTGAATGGCTTTCGCTCTTCATTTGGTGATCCGGTATATATTTCTCTCTCTCTCACCTTCGCGGGTGTGCAGCTTCTTGTAGATCTCCATGTACACTTTTTCTTCTCTGCTCTTCTTTGCTGCACGCTTCGCATTTAGATATTTTTGATTCGCATCTTCTCCTCCTGACTTCCGCCATACCTTAAGCACCGTCTTCTTGTACTTCGTTCCTTTTCAAGCTTCGGCCTTTGTGGTTTAGTGCGGTCTAGTAGGTTGCTTGCCATTTGATGTCGATGTTCTTATAAAGCGTCCACGAATGTTCTGGTTCTTCTTCCATCGTTGGCAGGGCTGACTCCATTGCTGCTTTGGCATGAAGGTTGTTCTTGAGCTTCCACCCTTTGATGTGCTTATTATCCGCCGTCATTGCCCTTTTTCTTCTTCAGTGGGGATGTTCAAGTCTAGAAGCAGCGGCCTGTGATGTGGTACGCAGTCTTCGCCGGGAATAACTATATTATCTTTCACGTACTTGAACTCATTCTGTCGTACTGCCTAGAAGTCTGTTCGCGAACTACGATCTCCACTAGAATACGTGATGAAGTGGTTGGTCTTCTTGATGAAGTAGTGTTCGCTGATGCCGAATTGTGAGCGGGGCAAAGTTCAGGATTCGCCTTCCTTACGTATGCCGTATTCATTATTTCCATGACACTTCTGAAGGCCACTGTTTCAATGAGTAGCATCTCTTCATGTGGTGTTGCGTTTATGTTATCGTTGAGCTTCTGCCAGAGATCCTCTTTCTCAGTTCGTGCTTGTGATGCACATGCCGCTACTACTTGAAGCTTCTTCTTTCCTTTATTTATCTACTCCTGTACTCATCAGACTGTCGTTTATCCGATCTACGGCAGTTGTTCTATCTCTCAGTGCTTCAGAGACCACAAGTTTGCGACATCATTCTTGCAACTGCTTGTTTCTTATACAGAAGCTTGAAACCTACCGCCGATGTCTCGTGCCTTTTCTCCTTCCCTCTTGGTTTCTTGTTGACAAGCGATGTCCTTTGCGTCTTCTGGGGAGATCCGCAACTTTCTAACGTCGTGCTGCGACAGATCCAATGTTAAGCGTAGCATTCATCGGCGAAACCCAGTTCTGTTCGTGTGCCGAACAGCCTCAGGTAGTTTTGATAAGCTTGATTGAATGTTAAGACAAATTTCAACTTCTCAGCCGTTGCACACCATTGGCTGGCCTGAGCGAGCAGTACTATATTGTATCACATTGAATGCTCAAACGAAATCACGGTAGACTACTTTTTTCCTGACCAATTAAAAAAACGGAGACTTTGCATTCTTGAAAGCAGTGTCTTACCAAAAATTGGTGCTGAGATTTCCACATATTACATTATGTCGGGCCCTGTCTGACACTGTGTAGTGTTGGAACCGCACGAATCCCCCAAAAGCCCTCTTCTGAGGGCCTCGTGCAAGCATGTGGACGAGCTGTACCCCTGCACTCCTTCGCGGTGAGCAGAGACGCAGAGTCGAGCTACAGTAACTCAAAATGTAGTCATGTTTTGAGGTACTTTTGCGATTGGATAATAGAAGAAATTAAATGCTCAAAATAACATACCGCTTGCAGTCTTCAAAAAAAAATAGGGCGCGTTTCCTGTTGGGATATGCCATGTGCGACAAAGTGAGGGAATGAGCTCACTGATTGTTTAACACATTGACGACCATGCAGATTTTTAG